TTCCTCCCCACTTTGTTATCTGATGAGATACAGTCTGGTACTTATTCTTTATGAGAATAAGACTCAGGGTGAGTAGTTAGGAGCAGCAGGAAAGCACCTCATTACCTGAGCAGAGCAGGGGTGGAGTTGGCGAACTGGGCTTTTGCTTTGTGACACTTGCAGCATATACTGGGGACATCATACAACCTTTTGCCTGGGGCAGCTGTAAGTAGAGCTAAGGGCACCCCTGCTTTCTATATTCTGGGGTCCCCCTGAGCATCAGCAGCTATAGGCCTATGCCATTCTGGTCACTTTCTCATCTGGCTGCATGATGTCCTTCTGTGGGCACTCAAGCCAACTCTGAGCATTCTACTACATTTTTTTTCATTCTACTAAATTTTATTAAAACAAACCATGCCCATCAGGCTACAGGTGTCTTTCGGATGGGTGTTACAATGAATGCAAATTGGGGATAAAAAGGCTTTCTGTGGAAAGCCTCCACAAATGCAGAATCAATTACGATTTGATTTACCAACCACAGAAAATCCTTCTCATTTTGGGAGAGCTGAACTATAAGTCACGATTAAAAATGACTGTAATCCATTTCATGGGATGTTAATGCTATGTTACACAGGCATGATTGTGGATGGCAGGAGTTCCCCTCCCTGGGGTCTTCCTAGAGGATGCCAAGGGCTCTGAGGCTTTCCTGGCGCGTGAGTTCCTAAGGGTCTCCACCACCGAGAAGCCCGGGAGTCAGAGAGGTGTCCCTATGTGACTTGACTGGAGCACTTACTATCATTCCCAGCATTCTCATTCTCAGGCACATAACATTTTCCCTCATTCATTCTGTATGCAGGTAACTATAACTATGGGGGCCCCTCCAGTTGCTTTCGGCTGATGCACAGCTTCATATGTGTGTGATCTTTGAGGTTCTTTTTGGTGAACATATCTCAGACAGAACTCACTGTGACTCCCCCACTGAGTGCTAGCTGTCTCCTCTTTACAGTGATCCTCTCTCTTGAGTATCCTGAGAGGAACCCTAAGAATCAGCTTTGTCTTCTCTTTGCCCTCACCCCTCCCTGTGGCATGGAGTCCACTGCTGTGACTCTCCCTACTAAGCTGGTCCTTGTCATCCACACCCATCTCAGGGGCCTTTCTTCTGCCAGTAATTTCACTGTTTCACTCTGCTGTGCTCCCTGTTGTGGGATGAATATTCTTAAAAACAAAACAACAAAAAGCCAGCTTTAATAATGCCATTCACCTGCCAAAAATTGTACCTGGTTCCCCAGTGTGCAGATTTCCATCTTTGAGATTGTCATATACTCTTCCACCCATCAGGAGTTAATGTCACTGGGTCTTCCTGCTTCCCTATCGTCTGTAAGGTACCTGTGTGCTCATGCCATTAAGGGCGGACTGGGGACCCTGCCCCTTCCTGACCTAGCAGCCTGCTGGGCATCCTGTATATCCTTGTTTAGAGAGTGGACACATTCTAGGCTCAGGGTGTTCCCTGACACACCCTGGCACCTGTCTCCAGGCCTGGCTCATACTCCTGGGACTCTGCTAGAACCCGAGGCAGACAGTAGCTAAAGAAAGAGCTAGAGAGAGAGACGGGAGTGCTGGCCTGCCCTGAAGCCTGCATTTTTGGGCTTAAGGAAACAGCTGGGGAGAAAGGAAGAGCCCACCATGGAGCTACTCTACATTCTGGGACTAATCTACTTTCTAAGTTAAATGTTAGCATAGGCCCAGGAGGCCCAGGTCTTAAGCACCATGGGAAAAGGTAACCAGCTGACTTGGCTAATCCACAGTAAGTCCCTACACATGCACTCAGTGGTCTTCTGGTATCCTTGGCTGACCCCAACCCATTATCATGTCATTGATCAACCTGTGGGCTTCGGACACCATGATAGGTCTTCTAAGAGCCACAAAAGGGGAAAAAAATTCCACCACCAATGGAGGGGCTGAGGGAAGTCACTCACTGGAGGGAGTCATATTTTTCAGACCAAACCCTCAATCCCATCCTAAACCCTAAGGCTTGAAGCCCTTTACACTAAGCCCTCTCAGTACTGTGAGCTCTTCTCACTGAGCAGACACCCAGTGGAGTGTATCTTGTCTTTTTTTTTTCAAGTACATCTTTGATCCTGCTGCTATTCTTGGGTGTCCTGCCCAATTCTTTATTTAGGACATCAAGAACTTAGACAAGACCTCCAACCCGATAACAAACCCAATGTCTTCCAAAGCCCTGTGCAGGGCCCATGGGCCACAGGCTTTCCTGATTTCCCTGGAGCATCACAGCTTTCTTCTGACTCTAAGAACAGTCTCTGTCTTTTTTTTTTTTTTTTTTAATGGCACCTAAGATGTATTCTGCTTTAAGACAGCACAATTAAAGCCCATATCTGGGCATCAGCAGATGCCCTCCTCATGGAAGAGGAGGAAGAGGAGCTGGTGTGTTCGTGCTTCAGCTCATCCCCTCATCCCCCTTACCCCTTTGGGTTGAATGTGCTGCAAAGATCTGTTGGATTTGACCTTGTAACCCACATGTTTAGCACAGGCTAAGTGTTCATGATGATAATTTTGTAGGAAATAGCAGCTGAATGGATCTCTTTTGTTGGAATGGGCCTGTCTGGGTAAATTTAGGACCCATTCTTTTGGAGAAGAATCTCCTTTTGTCTCTTTCCCTGGGGAAGGCTGGTGGTTCTCACAAACCCATGGTGGGGGCAGCTGCCTCACTGCCTATGGTCATGACCCTGAGGTTTCCTCCCTACCACTTTTGCTTCCCTGATGGAAGATCAAAGGGAGGCAGTGGAGGCAATGGGAGGTGGAGGAAAGAAGAAGAGAAGGGGAGGGACCAGCCATAGGCTCTATGACCGGAAAGTAAACCTCCCTCCCAGTAGCCAAGTGCCTCGCCCTCTTCGCTCACCACTGGCAGGGTCACAGTGTAAACTGGGAAGGGGCCTGCTGAGTCCCTTCTACCCACAGCTGTCTGTGGCTTCCTATTGCCCCCAGCCTGCCATGCTCTGGTTCTGCACACTGTCTAGACTTGGCTTCCTTATTGTAGGAGTAGATGCTTCTTTTCTCCTAAAGTCTTGTTGGGCTTTATGTGGGTATGATGAAGAACTTGTTGTTTATCAATATCTCCTTCTTTTATGTTCCTCCTTCTGATCAGATGTCTTGGTTGTTTGTTAATTAGTTTTGTTTTGAATCCCTGTCCTTCAATGACATTGCTTTTAGTTGGAGAGTAAATCCACCATAAGAAACCCCTGGCTGAGCCAAAATATTTTTATACCATGGTCAAGAGACCAGATGTGAGGCCACTGAAAATCAGAAAATACAAGTTATGTTCTTGTCCGAGAGCACTCTGCTGATGTCCCTTGCAAAGGTTACACTAGACTCAGTTCTATGCTCAGGTGATTCAGCTCAGAAACTTTCTCTAGTGTTAAGAACTTGGAACTTTAAAGGTCCCTGCTTTGGAGACTGAAAGTCCAGAGACACATAGCTATTGCCATCAGTCAAAGGACAGCTTTTGTGAGCATGTAGTGTCACAGATCAGTCTTACCCACATTCATTGATGACTGGCATGTCATCATGTTGCAACTGATTCCCTGAAAGACTGAGACAAGCCTGACCTCAAAAGAGAAGACAAGGTTTGGCTTTAAAATATGCATAGAAACATCCTCTGAAAAGAGCAGGGCATGGAGAGGTGATGCTAGTGGGGATATGGTCCCCATGGTGGGTTGGAGAGAGGGATGAAGAACGACAGGTTTCCATGGGCCTGTTCCTAGCACACATGAAACTGTAGGCATTCCCTTGGCCACCGTCCTTCTAGCCAAATCCCAGCTAACACCAGCTTTCTATATCATTCATAGAAGACAGGACATAGCTGTGGAATTTATTCTCCAAGTTCCCTCTGTTCATCACCCCTCTGTCCCCAGTCCCCTCCTACAATACAGATTGCATTAAAAATACTTTAGCTGACTATAAAAGCTGGACTCATAACCGGCATTCTATGCTGTCCATAAACACAGAGGAACCAGAGATGAGATATTGCCCATTATGTAAATACTTATATAGGGTGACATTTGTTTTTATATCTGTCTAAATACTCCCCCCAGCAACTCATAGATACACACCAGTTCTCAGGGACATGACAAACCTTACTTTAAAAAGTACATGATGTACATGTGTGGTAGTAGTCTCTACTATAAGATAAAATCACCTGTGGTAATAGAGCTCATGTGCAGTTTACTCATTTACATGAGGAGGAAAGAAAGCTGAGTTTTAAGGAACCAGGTCAGCAGATTCAGCTGGCTGACTCAACACTCTTATCAGGGTAAACCTGAGGCCCATTCAAGTTGAATCCCATTCGAGCATTCAGTGGGGGAACACTTTGCTTTCAAGGTGAAAAATACTATGGTCTGTGCCCATTTAGCTCACTTGGGAGGAGGGAAAATAGTCCTCAGTGATCCAAATGACTTGAGATTAATCATCTGCAGTCCTTTCAGGGCTGTGAAATGGAGTTCTGTTTCTAGAAACAATATAGGCCACCTGCACTTCCCAAAGGAATGCCACCTTGCACCCCAGGTACAGTCTATCTGCAGGTTCTGGGGAGTCTACCCTGGCACACCCAGAAGCAGGCCCCCACAGGGGCATCTGTGAGCATTCTGTGTGGACCACCTGCTGAGCAAAATGAGATCAGATGGAGCTCCCAGTCTCACTTCACCCAACACCATAGACAACACCAATCAGTGCTGGTTTCTGGGAGTGGGCAAAAATTCACACTTGGCTTTCTGGTGGAAGAACACTTCAATTTAGACAAGATTAGATGAGTCACTTAGAGATTCAAGTGTTCATGTGCCATTTATCATGAAAGTGAATATCAGAGAGTCCTTGGATGCTTTACAGAATGAGACAGAAAAAGATTTATGAGAAGAAAAGCTAAAGCTAAAGATGAAGAGGTAAGAAGTGATATCAGTGGAATACAGAACACAGCAGCTCTGGACAATTGGAATCACCAGAAAGGATATCTTGCAGGACTGTCCTTAAGGGCATTGAGGAATCCTGTTTGCTGTGAACCTGTAGGAATGAAATCAACATTTAGTATCTGACAGTGATCTCCAGAATAAGCAGCCTCATGCTGAGAGCTCTCATCTACATAAAAATAATAGGTGTCTAAAGATCAATTAAATAATTATATCTGTTAAGTGCTACAGCACCCAGTTTGCTGATCAGAGATTGAGATTCCACTAAAGTTGTTCAACAAGAAAATGGCAGATTCATAATTAGACCCAACATCTGCAGGATATTTTTTCAATAAAAGCAGATGGATGTCTGAATACTTTCCCATAAATTATAGTTCTGATTACTCCTTTGTTTTCTTCATTTTAATCCAATTTTCCCTGCAAATTTAACTTATGACCCTAGAAATCTTATGGAATAGTCTACATATGACATAGACTTCTTACTCTGCACCAAGAGTAAACAATGTTGTAAACTGAAGTTGATTACTGACTCTTTATGGGTTTAAGATGTTTTAATATGTGCTTGTCTATGCAAGAAAGCATTTCTTTAGAAGCTGGAGTAAAGGTGCATCTGATGGAAAACAATTTTGACTGTATTGGCATCACACTATTAAAAGAAAAGCCTGTGAAGAGAAGTCTTGGAAATTTCATCTTGGGTCATGACATGGGGTCCTTCTGTGCTGTATGAAGACACTGTGCTTCAGGGGACAGAATCTGGCCCTCATGCAGCAATGAAAAACACAGGAGAACTGGTTGAGACCACACTGGGGCTGCTGCACCGCTGTGCTGCTTAACTGGTATGGCTGCAAGGTGGGAGTTAGCAAGAGGCAGGGTGGCAGGCCCTGCTGGGTCACCAGAAAGTGTGTTCCATTCCAGAAAGGTGAAGGGACTCAGCTTCCTATTTTTACCTGAGTTCCCTCTCCCATTTCATCCACTGCCCACTCCAAGGCACAAAGACGTGCAAGTGGACATGCTATAGGTCATGGGCAAACACAATTTTGAGGCAGAAGGAGGAAACCCAAAAGAATGATTTCTTTCTCTACTAAACTCACAAAGTATCATTTGCCTAAACCCTCCTCCCCTTATAAGGAAATCCAGACTTGACCTTCCCAAGAAGCCTGGAGACCACAGTTGTCCGCCCCACCCCCAAAGCCCGCTACCTGGCAGGGAGAACCCAGGTACTGCAGTCCAGCTGCTCTGGGACAGCTCCGCCTCTGCTGGGGTGTGCTGAGTCTTATGGGGACACAGGGATCATGTAAAGGCTCTTCCCTTCCCGAAGGCATCACATGCCCAGGGGGTGTTTCATGGGGGTTATTGGTGGGGGGTGCAGACCAAGGGGAAAGGAAAAACTTCATTTGCTTTCTGCCACAATATTCAGATATTTTGCAGGCAGATGAATTCCTAAATTTTGTATAAGATTAGATGAACAATATTTAAGCACAGACTACAGAACTCTCCAGTTTGGTGGATGGAGTCACAGTGAGTGAGACTTCAGTGAAGGTGAAAGTGAAATGTACACTGCAACCTGACTGTGAAGGGAGGGAGCAGACTTCAAACTGTGACACGTATGAGGCCTGTATGTGTGGGTGGATGTGGGTGTGTGAGAGTACCTGTGAGTCTGTGAGAGTGTGAAGTTTGTACGAGTATGGGTAAGGGTGTGAGAGACTGGGTGAAAGTGTGCGTGTGTGTGTGTGTGTGTGTGTATGTGTGGTGTGTGTGTGTTTTCCTGGAGTTTATATCATTAAGCAAGTAAAAACTGGGCCTAGAGGCTCAGTATGTAGGGCCAGGGCCATAAATACAATTCAATAGTGTATATGAAAGCATTTTGAACCCGTCAAAGATGATATGACAATGTAAGGTAAAATACTACTTTTTAGTGTCACATGTGTGCTGGAGCTTGTAGTTATTTATTTTCCGGTTGTGCCAACAAGTACTCCTTTAAAAATAACATATAACACTCTAGTATATCTCTGCTTCTTTGTCTGTGAATCCACAGATAGGTGCCCGGCTCTGTTTCTGCCAGGTTGGGACTCTGAAAATGGAAAGAAAGGGGCCTCTGTAGAGCCATCCACAACACCTAGCTGTGGGTGGCATGGAAGAGGATGCTAAAGAATGTAAATCATCTTAAAAGCCACTTAAATTATGGCTGTCATGCATATATTACAAATTACAAGTTCGGGTCACATTTATACAATAGGATTATGGTGTGAAAGAGTGGGAACTCGGATTGAAAATCTCTGTGAGAATTTGGATAGTTCATTTAGCGTCCTCATGGGACTAATGTTCATAGAGAATGAATGGGAATCATCCAGTACTCCCACACCCCACCACTCACACAGGTCCAACCCAAGGAGAAGGGGAGGGAAGACTCAGCCTGCTCCATTTGTGGGTTAGCACTACTGTGGCTAGAAATGAGGCCTCTGTTCAGATACTTCTAGAAACATGCCAGAGAGCTGTGTACTTGGTAATGGGCTGCTGTCCTTCAGGAATGTGGACAAGAGGCAAGGCTGGCTTTTAATGTTGCCAATGGCACGCTAATGGAATTTTAAGGGGTTGAATTTATAGTTCAAAGTCAATTAACTTCCTTCTCATCACTCACTATTGTAGGAAAATGAATAACCAGGAGACAAAGTTATGACCAACCAGGTCCAAGTTATGACCTTCAGGATGGGGAACGAGGGCTGGGAATGTAGCTCAGTGGTGCCGCACCTGCCTGACAAGTACAAGATCTTGAGTTTGATCCCTGGTACCAGAAAAGAAAAAAAATGGGGAATGAAAAAAAATGTCATTTACATCTAAATCTAATTTTTAATAAAATTGCTTCCTTTATATGCCAGGAGTAGTTTGCTCATGTTCTAGTAGATAACTGAATACCTCGTTAAGTGTAAAGTTTTAGCATCTATAGATGTACGTAAAAGCAAACCAGTCTTTATCCTTGGACATGTTTTCCCTGGGGAGGATGCCTTCTTGCATAAGTAGATGCCTTGTTAAGAGTACAGGTTCTAGTAGTCAGTGGCTGTCAGTGTGCCCTTCGGGTAAAACATGGGGACGAATTTTTAGGGGACCCCTTAGCAGAAGTCATTAATATTGGAATGGGGATAGGTGTTATTAGAGAAGAAGTCTTGTTTCTGGAAATGAAGCCTGGTCTAGGTGTGACCCCAGAAACTGCTGTTGGAAGGATGAGGTTAGGGAATGGGGAGGGATGAACAGGGATAGAGGAAGTGAAACATGGAAAGGGGCAGGCTGGAAGTGAGGAGGGAAATGGGGAGAGAGAAGGAAGAGAAAGCCCGAAATGATCAAAATAGTAAATCAAAATTAAATCAGAAAACCAAGGTCAGGCAAATGGTTACATACGTAATCTGATTTCACCAGCATACTTACGAAGAATGACGTGGGTGATAACGAATGCAAATATAAAGACTGTCAGAAAAGACAGGGATAAAATAAACATATAAAAAAATCTGTAGTTTCTTTTCCCCACACAGTTGCCTACCCAGGGACAGTGGTGATCAAACCGTTCTGAAATGAGAGGCAGAAAAAAAAAAAGGAAATTAATTAATAAAATGTCTTTTTTACTTGATGGAACCTGTTCCCCCATACTCTACTAATAATATAATAAAACAATATCATACCACGGATTTCCAAATTAAATACCCAGGTGCTTATTCAGAGCAATATAGTTCAAGAACCTAATTGTTAGCAGAACTCAGCTGTTTAAAAAACTAGGTGTATCTACTGTTCACAAATGGTCACTGTAAGTAGAAGTATAAATTTGCATTAGAATTAGAAAGGTAAAGGTTTCCCTCCTTCTTGAAGGAAATCTTGTATTCACAGAACAATCTTCCCTTAAGATGATGCCAACACTATCTGATGGTAAGTGCCAGGCTGGGCTGGATGTGGCACTGGAGGCTGCCTGGTACAGTAAGTGGCCATGAAGAGAAGTCACAAGGGACCTGGGGCAGGACAGAGGGACAATCCTTTGTTTTTGTATTTCCGTTACAAATGTTTTACATAAGCTGTTCACAAACATTAATATATTTGGCCTCTAAACATTCCTGTAAGAAGATGATGATGTTGCCCAATTTTACAGGGGAACAAACTGAGGCTTGAGGATACAGAGGGCAGCCGGCTCAGAGGCAGTGGAACTAGCAGTTTAGGCCAGGATTTAGGGAGCTGCCCCCTCTCCCGCTGTATATGCCGCCTCTGGTGCTCAGTAGTGACAGAGCGCTGAGTTCAGGCTCAGTATTGCTGTTACTCCACAGTACCCTATGTGCAAACCCAAGGCTTCTCACTTTGGGATTTCACACAAGGCCATGATGTATTTATGATTGGTTCTTCCCCTTGCAAATGATGGCAAAGTGCTTCTCTTTACTACTCAGCTGCTCTTCTATCCAGGAGCACCGCTCAGTGTCATTCTAATCCAGCTGCTCACATCAGGCTACCTGCCACACCTCGGGGCAGGGAAAATGCTCAGCATACAAATTAGCTTTGTACTCCGGGCTCTTTGCAAAACTCACTTCTACATAATTTTCATGGTTTAATTATCTATTATATGCTCTAAAAACACACAGAGAAGGCTCTATGAGGTGTGACTGTACAAATAAAACATTACAGATCTGGGCAGTTGGTCAGTTTCATGACTCTCTGGTCATGTGTCATAAAACCACTCATCTCACATGTGAGATGCTGAATACCTGTTTCTTGAAAAGGGCTCAAGGACACCTGGATGAGGGTTGGTGGCACAGGAATTGTAAGGGAATCTTACAATCTCTGTGGTCAGCAAGTGTAACCAATTTGCGCAGAGGACACAAGGACAAATTTCAGAGCTTGCTGGCTTGATGACAACCCAATGGCCCAGAAGATGCGGACACTCAACCGAAGTAATTACTATTGGAATACCCATGTGAGTTACATGTAAACACTGCCCCTCAGCCCTGAGTAAAATCAGTCTCACTGGGGTCAAAGGGAGGGTAGGATAAACAGGTGGAGCACAGAGAATGTTTAGGGTAGCGGGAAATACACTGGATAATGATAGATAATATCATTATGTATTTGTCTAAAGCCACAGAGTGTATAAGGTCGAAAATGAGCCCTGGTGCAAACTATGGGCTTTGGAAGATTCTAACATATCAATGAAGGACCAGCAATCGGAACAAATGGCGGAGGGGTGTTGATAATGGGCAGGTGGTTCCTGTAGGGTGTGTGGGGGGTATCAGGTACTCTCCGTACCTTCCTCTCAGTTTTGCTGTGAGCCTAAAACTGCTCTAAAAATTATAGTCTTAAATATCACACAAACCCCACCTTTTCAAGTCACTGATCGCCAATCTGTATGAGAAGACTACAAGGAGAAATACAAGAAGAAAAAAAATCAGATTTCCTTTGCTAAGTCTTTGAGGCTGCTGTTCTGAGATAACGACTTTTCTTTAAATCTGACTAGAAAATGAGAATAAGAGTGGACCTCACAGGAAAGCCAGGGATGGGTGAGAATCTACCTCCAACCATGCAGGGGGTGCAGGGCAGGCTGGGGAAATTCACTGACAACAGGAAATCCCACTGAGGACAAAGGTCCTGTGTCTCTGCAGCTTATTTCCTGGCAGAGGCAGAATACAATGAAGTGACACATGGTGGGGTGGTACCATTGGGGGTCCTGGAGGCTGCTCCATTGCTCTCCATTTTTTCCATTGCCCTCCAAGGGGTGTGGATTCAGGCTCCCCAGCAGCCCTGACCTGGAAGCCATTTCCATTTGGAAACCTGTTTGTTGAAAACTTTTTCTTGGCTGATAAAATCCCACAAAAACTTCAGGTGTGCTGGGGAATTCTTTCCCTGGCTATTTCTCCTGGTCCCACTGTTCTGTGGCTGACTTCATGGTGGTCAGTGGGCCTGAGGCTCCTGGGCCCCTCGTGGGCCCAGCAAGCATGCGGTCCAGGGTCCAGGAGAAGCCCCTCCCCAAATCCTGTGCCCCTACCCTGTGCTCCTGCCCTGCTCCTGCTTTCCCCCCAGGCCACTGTGGGTGAGCTGCCTGGGGCTCAGTCTACCTTGCTCCTTGCCACAGTCTTCTCTCTTTTTCCCCAGCTAACATCTTTTCAACCCAAGGGTCAAATGCCAACTACATCCAGCATCATCAGATAGGTGCTCTGCCTTCAGCGACAGACTCCTGCTGAGGCCTTACTGGCCTCCTAGACTGTCCTCAGTCCAGAGAGACTTCCCATCATCCCTCAGACACCAGCCTCCCTAGACTTCCAGCTGCCCACTGCCCCACCCAGAACCTGAGGCACCATTTGGACCTGGTCTCCCTCTTTCCCCATATTCAACCCCTGATGGAGCCTGTCAGCTCTGACTTGCCTTTATCTAAACTCATATGAGTTTTACTGAATTTTGTCTACTGAAATATTGATTGGGCTCTAAGCCTAATAGATCTTTGTCAAATGACTGAGTAAACCCACATACAACCAGGAGACATCTGCAAGAGTAGGGAGGTTGTCCAAAGTCACTCAGGTAAGGAATCACAAATGGGAGTGGGAGCCCAGTCCAACTGTCCCCAGATCCTAAGCTCTTGACCAGTAAGTGCCACATTGCCTTTCCTGAGCATCTTTGATGTACCCACCCCTGTCATAGATGCTAGGAATACTAAGGAGAAATAACAGCAATACAAGACTCCATGGCTTCAAAGAGTTTCTTATCTGATTTGGCAAGGACAGTATCTTCAGCCTCTGAAATATTCCTCAGATGCAGATGCAAGAAACAAACTGCTAATAACCCTAATTTACCTTCTAGATCAGCCTGCTCCATCGCCATTGTTGGCTGCACACAATATCCTCCCTTGGTGGGTCAAGGATAGAATGGGCCACAGAAGCATGGTGGAGGCCTCCAGGTTGGCTGGCCCTGTTCCATGGAGGGAGAGCTGCCCTGTACCCTGAATGTGCTAAGAGAGACAGTGGGAAGCTGAGGTGCTGCAGGGATGGTTCTGAGTGGCCTGGTTGTGTCAATCCATTTCCAGGCCAGAAGAGTAGACAAGAATTGGGCACAAACTGAGCTGGGGAGAGAGCAAGTGGCCGTAGCTGATGCATGACCTAGCTCCCAGGAACCGAAACAGCTGGAGGAGGGGAGAGGACCCCAGCAACTGGCAAGGCTAGCTGCATGTAGAGGAGTTTCAAACAGCTGTCATTGGAGGTTAGTTTGTGTATTTTCTGTGTGGAAAAGTGGAATCTGTGTCCTGTGCGCTGAATGTAGGTGAGTGTGATGGGAAGTTCTTTAAAGGAGCATTTTCATGATGGTGCATGCCTATAATCCCATCACTCAGGAGGCTGAGTCAGGAGGATCACCATGAGTTCAAGGCCAGCCTGGGCTACACAGTGAGTTAAAGACAGCTTGAACTACTTAATAAGACCCTGTCTCAAAATTAAAAATAAAATAACACAAGCATTTTGGATTTGTTGCTGCATCCCTTGACGCTGAGGTCTGCATCCTGACAGAGGGAGTGGTCTCTACACATACCATTTCTGCAGGGAGGAGCTTTTCCCTGAGGCAAGGGTGCTGAACTACTGGTTCGGAGAGAATCCTAGAGTTCTCTAAAGTAACTACGAATTAGCTATCTCTGGTAGCATTGGGCTGCCCTGCAATAATCAAAGGACTTGTTTTCCTCTTCTGCTGGGTGACTCTGGAGGGCAGGAATCATTTGTAGTTATCCTTGTAGTGTGGGTGGAGCAGACAGTGACATCATCAAGGACAGGGAAATGACCTCCATGGTCTTTTGTACATCTAGGAGTGATGGATGGTCTTGGTGGCCAGGTGGAGGGAGTGGACAATGCTGGTGGCAGGTAAGATGTTGACCATGCTGACCAAAGGGAAAGCAATGTCCTTGTCATTTCATTGTGCTCAGAGAAGGCTGAGAGGAGGAAGAAGCAGGCTCAAGGCTGAAGAAACAGGTAGTGAGGTACCTGTGAAACCAGGGAGGTAGGAGTGTTTTCATTTAAGCCTCTGAGGGTGTTTCAGAGAGACCCAGGAGCTATAGTGGAACTAAATCACCTATCTCAGATTTTCAGAGGGGAAGGAAGGCTCTAAAATGGCTAGTGGGAACATAGTTCAGGAAGAGGAGATATGGTCCTGTTTTGCTTATCTACAGTTTGTTAATAATTAAAGAAAGCCTCCAGCCACAGAGTACCTGTTGGGAGCATTGTTTCCTTCACAGGAGAACAGCCTTTGGACGTAATTGCTGTGTCCCCAGTTCTGCAGCCCAGGAACCCCCTGGAGCCTGCAGCCCAGGAACACTGGGTCTGCTGTAGCAGCAGGCTGAACCAGCTCGGGGCCCTGAGCTGAGTCACTGCGCTTCTCCTAGGTTTAAAGGAACATTTAATTTCTGGGAGCAATTGAATAAAAAAAAAATAGAGGCCTTAAAAGTAAGAAATGGAAAATTATTAATATCGGACAGGATCTAAAAACTGAAATATGGAAAGAAAAGTGTTTGTAAAAGGTGTGTTTGAAGGCTGCCAGAGAAAGAAATGAAATATTTGGAAAAATGT